GCCCCTCCTTTGTAACCCAAAAAGTTGTTATTTAAGATGGCAATGGAATCAATGAAGAAAGAAACGATTTTTCCCGCGAACACCTAAGTGGCTTTTTCTAACCTTTGTATGAAGGGGACGAATACACCACCGGAGGAAGATGGTGCACTCATTAGGTGAGGACAATGAGATACGTACCATGCCATCAGATAGGTATATGGCAATGGTACTCGAGGATTAGGAGTTACCAAACTTTTCTTCCCTTCGGAGCCTATCTCTTTCACCTGAATGAATTCGAGGCATAGCTCCCTCAGACCATACTACAAGCAGCACACCATGGCTAAAAGTAAATTCATAGGTCTCCCATGGGCCAAGAGAATAGCTGGATAGACTACTTCTACTATCACGACATTTATCGGTCTAGTAGGGACGACGCATCATTTTAGCCATAACATGAGAAACCCCGCCAGCAAAGCCATGTCAAAAATGGGAGTGGCAGCTTGGTGGTGGAAGCTTTCAAACTCAGTCTGAGCAGGGAAGCCGTCTTCTCTTCCCTCATTGACATAATGAACTGTAGCGTCATTGATCAAAGCTTGAATAGTCTCAGGGGTGCTCACATCTCAACGAGACACAGCAGCAACTTTGTGAGAAAAATTCTGGAAGAGATATTTGACCCAGGACAGCTACTTTACACCACCTCCTCATGTCCCCGTCAGTTGGGTATAGATTTGGAAATGACACATGACCTCCCATAGAGTGTCATAGATCTCAGGGCTGGTCTCCTTCAAAATCCTAAGCCCACTCGACCCTGGGATAAGCTCTTCATAGGATAAATCTCCGAAGGAAAGGCTAGAAATGTTATACATTTCATGGATAGCAAACCCTAATTCACCAATCGAAGTGAAGAATGTACACGTCTCTGGATCGTACCTCTCCAGGATAGCATAGAAATTATAATGGTTGTGAACAATACCATATCTAGTAGCCATTATAGGGCAGCCGAGCCCAGATTGAGCTAATGGCCCCTCTAACTTTTTTGATACAAATTCTGTCATTCTTGTCGACCACCCTGCTCTAGTGGAATGTACCCATCCGGGAGTTCTAAACACTAAAGAAAGGAAATCTCCTTTCCCAGCCAAAAATCTTCGCATGAAGGTGTTGGCTGGACTAAATGTTTCGCCCATAGGGTACCCTCTTGAAAATAAGCATGGCTCTAAAGCTGACACATGTCGGTTGTAGCCTACAATATGCAAGCCAGTAAAAGTTAGAGTCCCAATTGCTACTCCATCTTGTTCTCTGACAAGATCCCAATTTATATATCTGGATTCGGAAGCGCATTGGTAATATGAGATAGGGAACATCATCTGCATGTCAGGAAGGAAGAAGAGGCAATCCCCTATCTGTCTTAACCACTTATAATTTCCACCATATGTGATGTATTTCTGAATGACAATGTTATCCCCAAATAGAAATGCTGGCTTGGTGAATTTTGTACGAGACTCAGTTTCAAACTGGGCATCCGTAACTAAAGTCCTAAGTACGACCTCGCTAGCTTGGATGATCAAAGTGGCATGTTCCTTGTCGCCATCTTGAAAATTTGGGAGTTCTTGACACAGATTAATTGCATATTTAAGTCTACACCACCTTCATGACCAAAGTGATGGCGGAAAGTGAGGGGTTCATTGGCATAAGGCACTGCCAAGGAAGAAAGCAATAAGTTAGTGTAAAGATGAAGCATAAAAGACAAAACTCAACTGCAGAGGTCGAACCCCTTCAAACGCAAAGGACAAACCCTACGTTAAAACATTCAAACGCAAAGGTCAAACCCTGCGTTAAACATTCAAACACAGAGTCTAAGCCCTGCGTTACAATATTCAAATGTAGAGTCCAAGCCCTGCGTTAAAACATTCAAATGTAGAGGCTGGACCCTACGTTAAAACATTCAAACGCAGAGGTTAGACCCTGCATTAAACATTCAAATGCAGAGTCCAAGCCCTACGTTACAATATTTAAACGCAGAGTCCAAGCCCTGTGTTACATCATTCAAACATAGAGTCCAAGCCCTACGTTAAAACATTTGAACACAGAGTCCAAGCCCTGTGTTATAACATTCAAACGCAGAGTCCAAGCCCTCTGTTAAAACATTCAAACGCAGAGTCCAAGCCCTTCATTAAAACATTCAAACGTAAAGGCTGGACCTTGTGTTATAGCATTCAAATGCAGAATCCAAGCCCTATGTTAAAACATTCAAACACAGAGGTTAGACCCTACGTTAAAATATTCAAACACAGAGGTTAGACCCTGCATTAAACATTCAAACGTAGAGTCCAAGCCATACGTTACAACATTCAAACGCAGAGTCTAAGCCCTGCATTATAATATTCAAATGCAGAGTCCAAGGCCTATATTATAACATTCAAATGCAGTGTCCAATTCCTGCGTTAAAACATTCAAACGCAGAGGTTGGACCCTGTGTTACAACATTCAAACATAGAGTCCAAGCCCTGTGTTAAAACATTCAAACGCAGAGGCTGGACCCTGCGTTAAAACATTCAAATGCAAAGGTTAGACCTTACGTTAAACATTCAAACAAAGAGTCCAAGCCCTGTGTTACAACATTTAAACGCAGAGTCTAAGCCTTGCGTTGCAACATTAAAATGCAAAATCCAAGCCCTGCGTTATAACATTTCAAACACAGAGTCTAAACCTTGCGTTACAAAATTCGAGCGCGGTGGTCGAACCCCCACGCTTTAAATTTCAAATGACAGAGTCCCAACTCTCTGTTGTGCCATTAAAATGAGTCTCCTTATTATTCAAAGGTCAGAACTTTCCAAAGCAAGTTTTACAACCACAAAGGCCATACTTACCACCAACAAAAGGAAACTGTGGCGACGGTGCATCTGCCTGAACCACAGCGCCGTCGTTGGTCGAAGCAGACAGCGAACTCTGAGCAGCAGCGACAGTGGGTTTAGGTCGAGAGATGGTCTTCTTCCTAGGCATAATTGATGAGGACGATCAGAGAAGATGAACAGGATTAGTCGGACGATCAGAGAGGATGAACATGATTTGTTAGATTTTAAAACTAAGAGTTTTCATTAGACGGTACGGGGAAGAACAGAGAAGAGTCGAATGACTCTTGATCCACAGCGGTCTATTTATAGACAGCTGTGAGCCATCAAATCGGAACGAGATTCTAGATAAGAATCCCACCTAAACATGACCTTTGCGTTCGTGTTGAAGTTGGTTGAACTTCTGATGCAAAGCTCACCTTTGCATCCCAAATTCCAAGCATAGGATTCACTTGTACGTTTCAACGCCAAAAAGCAAATACTTCAACCACCAGGGCTGTCGTACACCTTCAAATAATTAGAAAGAAGCTAACAATGACCATCAAGGTGATGACAGTCGAAAAGAAACTAGCCTATGACAAGAAGCTATGCAGCCTCTTGGATGAGTACAGACAGGTTATAATCAATAATGCTGATACTATCAAGCTCGATCCATCACACAACTCATCCTTCCAAATAGCTTAACATTCCAACTAAGATTAACAAGGATGTTGTTGAAATCATTACCCCAGTTTAGTTGATCAAGAAAGGAGACAAAGTGGGTTCTTCTGAGGTTGCTCTCCTAGCCAAACTTGGGATAAGATACTTCTCGTACGGGCTTGTGGTTCTCTCTGTCTATGATAATGGATCTGTCTTCAGCCCAAATGTCCTTAACTCCATTGAGAACGACCTCATTGGCAAGTTTACAACTGGTGTTTCTGTGGTTGCTTCGTTGTCACTGGCTCTTTCTTATCCAACTCTTGCAGTTGTGCCTTAGGTGCTCATCAATACTTACAAGAATATTTTTGCTGGTGTTGTTGACACTAAATGCACCTTCATACAAGTTAAAGGAGTATCTCAAGGATCCAAGGAGATTAGCTTCAAAAGTTCCCTCTTCTATTGTATCGGCTGAGAATGTTGTTACTCTTGATGCCTAAGAAGAGGAAAAAGTTAATCCTACTAATGGATCTAACGATGATGACTTGGACCTTAGCTTGTTTCACTAAGTTCATTGTTATCAAAACACAAAAGTTAGTTTTTTTGGTTTAAAGTGATCAAAATTACCTTGACTACCTCTACACATTCATCGGGAGTATGAGGTTAACTGTTACCAAAAGATATTACAAGGAATCGCTAATACATGAAGCAGAACTATAGCGTACAGCAAATTCTGGCAACCAAAATCATAATGTCTCCAAAACAGACAAAGTGAACAATCAGCCATGCAACAATAACTTGAGATTTAGCTTGTTTGACTAAGTTCATTATCATCAAGGCACAAAAGTTATCTGATAATCACATTTTATTACAATTTTATACCCTCTTTATCTATTTTACATGAATCATTAATAATTGTTGTTAGCTTAGTTTGCACATAAATGAATGAAAATATAAATAAATATTATTAAATATTAAAACCCCTTAAAATCTCTCTTCTCTATTTTGCAACATTTTAGAAGCATATGATTGAAAGGTTGGAAGCCCATCAAACAAATGATGGCCCAAAGAAAAAAATAAAAAAAAATAAAACAAAGACCTCTTGCACATCATGCTCAAGAAGAAGCCACAAAATCAAGCTCCTTGAAGGCCCAAGCCCATCAACAAATGATTACACCTCATGACCAAATTTGATAGGCTGCAGCTTTGATTTTTTTGAACCGGACTTGGAATGAATGGCTACAGATTTGGACTTTAAATAAAATGGGTCGGACTTGGTTTGGGGTGTAGACAAATGAATGACATGGACTTGACTACTACAAAGTTGAAAATCCAATGACCGGACTAGATTGTTGAGCTCTTCATTTTCGGTTTAAAAAAAAAATCAAATGGGAAACTCCAATCAAGACCGGACTGCTGGATGTTTTAAAGGGCCGGACTTCAAATCTTGATAGGCTGCAGCTTTGAATCACAAAAAAAAAATCAAATGGGAAGTTCAAATTGGGTCGGATCTATGTGCTGCAAAATTTCAAAATTAAATGTAAAGAGGAACCGGACTTGTTGCTTGTGGCTCAAGACAAATCTAATGGCTCATATTCATTGAAGATTACTATAAATTGGGGTAGAGAGTGAGGGGTTAAGGGTGTGAAAAATTTTATAACTCCTTTTGGAGAGGAGGGCTACTCTTAATTGAGAAGGTCTTCCAAAAATTATAACTTTAGTTGCAATTAATAAAAATAATTTTTCTCCTCTTTAAATTTGTTCTTTCTCCTCTTTGTTGAATGATGAGGTTGGAGATGAAGAGCAAATTGAGGCCGCCACCGCCTTGGTCGAACTCCTCCAGGGTCTGCCCGGCGCCACCGTCGTGAGTAACTGCTGCTCCTGGAGACTTCTTGACGAGGCCGCCTGGAGATTTCTTGACGACTCCGCCACGGTCGAGCTCCTGATCAAGGGACTGCACGGCGCCGTGAAGCCAAAAACAAGCCCATGAAGATTAAGCCCAAAAAGTCAAAAATCAATTCAAATGCCATTGGGCCAGACATGTTTGCTGTTGGATTTTCATTTTTTTTCTAAAGTGAAATAATTAAAGCTTGAAGGCCCAAAGAAGATTACACCAGGACCTGCTGCATTGGACTTAGGCTGCTAAGATTTGCATTTTTTATCAAATGAATCAAATGGAGGTCGGACTTGATAGGCTGCAGAGAATTGATTTTCAAAAATCAAATGAAATGTGGACGGGTGCTGCAGCTAAAATTCAAATGCAGTAGACCGAATTGGACTTGGCTGGACCTGCTGGGCTGCTGGATTTTGATTTTCTTTTTCAAGCTCTATGGGCCGGACATGCAGCTTCATTTTCAGTTGTGAAAATCACATGGGCCGGACTGCTGCTGCTGCATGTTCATTTTTCCTCAAATAAATCAATGTGGACCGGACTTGATGGACCGAATTTGATGTGGGCTGCAGATTTTAAAAATCAAAACTTCATGGAGATAGACTGAATTCCTTGATAGGCTGCATTTATAAAAGAAACCGGACTTGCTTTGTCATTTTCTTTTCTGTTTTGAAAATCAAGTGGAGCTCTCATGATCGGACTTAGCTCAACTCTTCATGACTGGACTTGGAATGAAATTTCTACAGACCTGGATTGTTATTTTTTTCAATGGGCCGGACTTGTTTTGGTTGAATGCTGCAGACTTCATGGCCAGACTTTTACAACTTGGATTTTCATTTACTTTTGAAAATCAATTGGGCCTCTTATGTTGGGCTAGAGAAGAACAAAAAGCAAATTCAAAGGTAGAGATTGTTGCTTGGGGCTCACTTTTATTTCTTTTTAGTAATTTCTTTATTATTGCTTATTAGTTAGATTTAAATTCATGCTTGTAGTGTAGATTTATTTTCTTGTCTTTTTTATTTCTTTTTGCACTTTAATTTGTAGAGTAGATTTATTTTTCTTGCATTTAATTTCTGCAATTTATTTTGTAGTTTAGATTTTTATTTTCTTTGTAGTTAGATTTATTTCTTGTTCATAGTTTAGATTTTTCTTTTCTTTTTATTTTTGTAATTAGTTCTTTTTCTTGTTTTTATTTCTTAAAGATGTGAATTTAATTCTTGTAGGAAGTTTAGAATTATATGAAACTAGTCTAATTTCCTTTATATTGTATGAATTATTCTCTTGCACTTAAAATGTTCATGTTTAGGATAATCAACTAGAGAACTAATCGGTAGAAGAAGAATTTGATAATCTATGCTTATCTTAAATGGTTTGATAGGTTATGCTTATGAATTCTAGGATTATTATCATGTTGTTGTTCTTATCATGAATAGTAATTTTAGCTTAGATGATAATTTGATAGGTTACACTTTCCTTAAATGGTTTGATAATCTATGCTTAATAAATCTAAGTTGAAATATGATAAAAAGAGAATAGTTTATATTTTGTAATTGAAATTGGTTAGTGGATTATATTCTAGATTCCTTACCTCTTTTAAATCGTCCATCTTGACTTTCTTAAATTTTCTTTTCATTCTTGGTTTTATTTCTTGATTTTATTAATTCATATTTCTTACCTCGTGATTTCATTTATTCTTTGATTCTTCTTTCTCTCCTCTAAAATTCAATTTATTATATTTTGCATATATTCACAACAATCACTCATCACAATCACACTTATTCTTTATTCCTAATTATCATGCACAAAACATAAGAATCATTTCTAATAATCTCTTAAAATCACCTTCCTCGTGGGATCGATATCTTTTATACTATAACTTGATAAATTGTGCACTTGCAATTTTGGTACATAATTATGCCGCATCAAGTTTTTGGCGCCGTTGCCGGGGAAGGTGCTAAAATAGGATTTTATTAACTTGATTCTTTAACTTGTGTATTTTTCTTGTGAAGGAACCGCTTGGAGCTTGAAAATCTTGGATTGAAGATCAAGAATTTGGAGCATTGCTTTCGGGTAAGTCTTCTTTCTAGTTTTCAATTCCACCCTTTTTAGTTAGCTTCACAATTAGAGACAATTAGGATTTTAAAAAAAATTATTTTTGTTGACCGTAATAAAATCTACCTTTCACTTGGACATTAACTAACAAGATAATAAACTCAAACAATTTTCCCCCTTCTCACATTTGATTGTTGTTGACCATAATTAAAAAAATATATAAAGATTTTCTTTTTATCATCCTTTTTAGTTGCTTTTAATTTCTAGGGTTGCATTTCATATAGTGTAGGAATTCACCAAAGTGATTGTAGCACTTGATTTGGCACACACTTAAAACATTCTTAAGGGCAAAACCCCAATCAAGATAAGGTAAGGGATTTCATCATCCTTTCCTTAGCCCACAAATCACTAATTCCTCACTTCACAAACCCTAGCCTTCTAAAACTCATTAGACGTTGGCCCCTAAGGATTCGAGCTCAATAAGGAACAAGAAATCCTTAAGTGAACCGGTTTAAGTTTTCTCAGAATAGTTGATGTCTAAGGCAAGGTTTAGGGGTTGCGTAAAGCGCTCCGCAAGGAAAGAGGTACTTAATTGATCTTTGATCAACCTCTAGTACTATCCTTACCTGGCTAACTACCTGGGTAAAACTTTGATCTTTTCACTATAGGAGTTTTTGGTTAGGAGCTGGTCTAGTAGAGTTAGGCTAAACCCTAGAGTTAGAGTTGATTGAAAATTGATTGCCTTGATTTGTTTTAGTTAGGATTTTTCTTTTTCTTTATCTTTTCATATAAAAAAAACTAATTTTCTTTCTTTCCTTAAAAGAAAAAAAAAATTTTGGTGTATGCAAATTTGGGTTCGGGATAATTTTCATCGCTTAATCCGTGTTGAACCAATCCATGAAATGGAAAATCAACCAGTTCTTCAGGATATGTGTTACCCCACCAGAAATGCAATTCCATCTTGCATAAGACTCCCCGATGTAAATGGAGCAAATTTTAAGCTTAGACCGTATTTCATATATATTTATCTCGGAATTTGAGGAAGTATGTATTATGATTAAAATGAGATAATTAACCGAAGATGCGATTAAGCTTAGATTTATTCCATTTGCCCTTAAGGACAAAGCTAAAAAATGGCTGTACAGCTTACCGATAAATTCCATCTCAACTTGGGAAGAATTTGTCACCGTTTTTCTTAAGAAATTTTTTCCTATTCATAAAACGGTAAAGCTTAGGAACAACATTCAAAACTTTAAAATTATCCTGGGAGAGCCATTCTGGAAATATTTTGACCGATTTAAAGATCTTTTAATCCAATATCCTCATCACGGTCTAGAAAAATGGCGACTGTGCCAAGTCATATATGAAGGATTGGACTATTCTTCAAAAACATCTTT